TGACCTTTGATGACCTCGGTTCACTTTTTCGAGTTTTACATGTTTCTAGGCTAGTTTTTGGAGCTGATTTCGAATTTAGCAACCATTTGAACATCACAGCAGGTGTAACGAAATTATCCAGACACCTTTCTTCCCGCTGTAAAAGCAAAACAATCTGGTACTTTTTCTTTTAACTGAGCTTGTAGCCACCTTTCATAAAAACACAATTTACTCACCTCGTTGGTTTCTGCATATCTTTGGAGTGGTTTCAAAGGACAGTCAGAGAGGAAATGAGGAACCCACACAGTGGCGAATGTTCTGGAGCATTTCAGCCAATGGATTCTCCAGCACACTGGCTTTGATGCGGACCAACGCCGTCTAAACCTGTGCCTGCGGTTGAGCAGTGCTTATGGCGGGTGGCGCTTCATACACCTCCTGCAGCCTGCTGAACAAGAGCCCACAGGTTTTCGATTGAATTGGGATCGCGACTTTTTCCAAGTCATAAGCGTTAGCCCAGAATGATTGAAGGTTCTATCGGCATCACTTCCCGTTCTTTTAGGGACTTTTAAGTAGCGCGCCGCCACGCATGAAGACAGCGTGGCTTGAATCAGGCATCAGTGCGCGTTCAGAAACCGTGCCCTCCTATGCCGTCTGGTTGAGCGCCTCCAATCATGCTCCACCACCTTCCCTGGAAAAGCTCCACCCTTGCCTATGGGGCAAAATATAAGGGACAAAAACACAAAACAAGACAGATAAAAACAAAGCAAAATTAACTCATTACCTAATGAAATTCAGGCTGGAGCAAAAACATAGGTTATAGCCAATAGGTTATGTCAAATTAGAATGAAAGATTAAAATCAACCTGACCAGGCCTTACGGTCCGACCGGGTCCTGACCACCTTACTTCGCCTAACTTGACCCAGTTCAACCTAGCCTACCACAACACCTGCAGAGTGCAGAGGTACACTCGAGGGCAGGTTGATGTTCCAACACTCCCTACCTATCGGGCTCCCATGGCTCAGCACTGGCTGCTGCCAGTGTTGCCTGCCCTCAGCACTGCTCAGCACTGCCTGCCAGTGCCAGTGCTGCCACATGCTGCCACTGGCAGCAGCCAGTGCTGAGCCATGGGAGCCCGATGGGTAGGGAGTGGTGGAACATCAATCTGCCCCCGAGTGTACCTTCCTGGAAAAATGACGCCCAGGGAGATGACTGTCCAACTTATTGAAATACTACCATGATTGCTTGTCAAAATGTGTGTCATCATGCTCTTGTTTGACAAGTGATGTATAATAAATGTGATATTCAATAATTACTCCTGACTGTTGACTGTTGAGTTATCAAAATATTCAAATAATCAGGGTACAATCCTGTGCATAGTGCACACTAATCATGTTGTTTTTGTGTAGGCCCTCTGCACATTGTTGTGTGCACTGCTATGTGCACCTAAGTAAAAAAGTGACTGGTGGTACATGACAAAAGGTTGAGCAACTGTGAAGTTCATGCTCTTGGTCTTGCTGGTGCCAAATGTCTATAGCTAGGACCAGTGAGGGTTGTAGACATGCTACATACATTGTGCATTGAAGATAGGTATTAGCACAAAGTTCATCCGTAATTACTATGCTTAACACCTAATGGAAGAAGCGACATAAATGCCCAGATGATAAAGCTCTCTGGTCAACATCACACAAATTTATTGACATACTTTGCAGGTACATATTTACATTCATGGCAAATACTTTCGATTTGATTCAGAAACTAGTTGCTAGTAAGCTTGCATTTTTGTAGGCACAACAACGACCATATATTAAATCATAAAAAACCTTCTCATGGCAATCATCAATACCTTTCTACCGAACAAGTACCTTATACCTAGCTTCCATGCAATGATTCTAAAATTTGTCCGCAATCCATCTATGGGCCTGTTCCAGCGCCTCCAGTAGAAATTCTTGACTGGAGGCTCTACCAGAGGTTTTACTGGAGGCGCTGGAACGCAATCTGGAGAATTCTGGAGATTGGCATCACATATACCAAAAGAATGACGATTGCTCTCTCTTGAAACGCAAAATTTGTTTTCAATTTTATTAAGAAAGATTAACAAAATTATAGCAATGTAATTTTATTTGCATTCAAGTTGTAAAATAATCAGTCAAAAGTCCTTTGTTTACATTCATGATTGTCACATGTGCGCCATAATTGTAGACCAGAGCCTCCAGAGAAATTTGGACCTCTCAACTCTCTGGAGGCTACTGGAGGTTTCTGGAGCTTTGGCGAGAGCTTTCTGGAGCTTTCTGGAGGCGCTGGAACGCTCTCTGGAGGATTCTAGAGCTTTCTGGAGCTTTCTGGAGGTTTCTGGAGGCGCTGGAACAGGCCCTATATATCTCAACTGACACAATGAATTTCAAATACCCTAACAAAACCTATAACTGTACATAAGAAGAATGCAATACTACAAGAATTTTGAATTTCTGAAGTTATTCTCACATGCTGAATGTTGAAACTCTACTTTTGTCGTCCATTTCCATGTTTGATTGAGCCATCATATAGATCTGTTTCCGTTCTACAGTCACAAGCTTTCCCACAAATCTTGAATTTTTACACATCATCTTGAACCATGCTCCAGTCTTTCCAACAAAGCAATTTTGATTTGTTGCAACAGCTTCAGATCATGATATGCTTGAGGTTTGTTACGTACCATTTCAATTTGTCAGACAAATCTCAACAAAATGTGTATCAATTCCCAAGCTAAGTAATTGATCATATCAGTATTTGCAGTTTCCACACAATGTTTCATAATACTATTCTATGTTTATATAAAGAAACTCAAATAATCCACAAATTGTTATTGAAACACTCCCACCTCAAGAATTCACAGCAATAACAGTACAAGTTCAGAAGCAAACAAACATTGCGCCACATTTCGTATGAAACGCGCCATCGCCCTGAAGTTTCTACCACAGACGGTAGTTCAACCGCAGCCGTAGTGCGAAAACCCCTGCCCACCTTACCCCACGGCGGAGCTCGGTTGCAATTTGTAAATACGCTTCCAAAAGCGACAAAAGAACATGAAATTTCCAACAAGATAGGATCTCGACTTTCCCAGTTTCTGTCAAGAATTTTCCAGTAAACCGTCCTAAAAATCACCAATTTATCATTGCAGTCTATGGACCTAGTATGCTTTGTATCCCAAGACTAGCTCGGGCTGCCATATCTGTTGGGAGGGGGCCGAACCGGTCCAGCTTTTTCCGCAACTCCGCGGCTGTTCGCGCGCATGCGCACTCTACCCGCGGACAGCTAGCTGGCAGCGGTCGGCTGATAATTTTGTCGTTTCGGCAGCTGATTCGGCGTCCACGAAAGCGTAATGTCGCCCAAGGCCCTATATACCAGGTAGGGTCGTCCGGCGATTCTACCTTTTCGTGACGTCAGCTCGTGACGTCATTTGGAGTCAAGTCTCGAAGCCCCGTTCAATCCCCATGTAAATGAGCGATTTTCGAAGCACTGTAGAATGAAGTCTGCACAAGATATATCAAACCTAAGTATCTTATCTGAAAGAGCAGACAATTTTCTGCAAGTTATCTATTACGTGTTTTTCGCTAAATCTTTTGCTTTTTTCACAAAAGCGTAAAATGTCCCCCCATGTCTCCGCAGCCTCCCTGCCGCCGGCCGCCGCGCGGTCGCGGTAGTGTAGTGGTTAGCGTGCCCGCGCAGTATTCCAAAGGTCCCGAGTTCGAATCTATGCGGTGCGGAACTTTAATTGCAATTCCAAGCTGAATATACGCACATCCATAATAAATTATTATTCGTATAGCTTAACTGTCACCAAGCTATCCATATAAATTGACTTCACCCAAAATATCGGCAAGATTCTATTAAAATATAAATTCAAATATGGCGGCTTGGACTGCCGCGTGCGTTAGGCTCCGCCCATAGCTCCGCCCACATGCGTGACGTCATTCGTGTTAGTGGACACGCAGAGAGATAGGGGACGACATGGGCCTGATGTCGCCACGGAATTGCGTTTTTGCGGAATGTCGCCCGCCGAATGGCCTAGTGTGCGGCCGCCTTTAGTGTGTAAACTCCGGCCAGTGCTGCCAAATCCTATCTACGGCATGGGTAAGATTGGGCCCAGGGCCCAGAATGTGGTCAGCAATCTATTCCTAGGGACCATATTCATGACAATCTAAGTTGAAATGGTTGCTGATGCCTCACTCTCTGACAGAAAGGTTGAAAGTTTTGGTTTTGGTTTGGGCTTGGGGTACCGTCTTATTTTCCAGCACTTCTTGGATATCAGTAACACTACATTGTATGCTGCTGTTTTTTAAGTTTTTTAAGATTTATTAGAATTGTTGAGTTGTCGAGATGCGAGGAAAACATCATATATTGAATTGCTATAACTTTTCACAATGCGGAGGAAATAAATGCCCCAAGTGCACCATATTTGATCTGGGGAGATGGTAAGAAGGAAGGAGTGGCTGTACCAACTATGGCGAGCCAGACAGAAGATAATGGTCGAAAAAGCAAGGACGACAGCTGGCACACTCCTTCCTGTATGTATCCACTCACAGTACCCCAGACCATGCCTGGACAAACCCAAAACCCAGGGGCTCTCAAGGGGTGCCGATGCTAAGGCGATACCCCGAAGACATCATCACATCTGCCAGTGCCAGGATTTTTCAAGACTCTTCATCTTGGGCAATGGTAGCTTTTTGTACTGTGGAGAGCAGTACAAAAAGGAGCATGACTTGTGATTTGATTTCCTCTGATAATTATAACCTTCCCACTGAAACAAATGAGCTGTCTAACCTCTATGAGTCTAGCCACAGACTTCTCTATATATAGAGAAGTCTGTGGGTCTAGCCCATAGAAACAACTGAACCAGTTATCCACATATCTTTGCAGTATAATTGTATTTAGTAATTTTATTTAGAAAAAAGATACATATTGTACAGCTTGTTAATTTTTATCAGCTGCGTGTCTGGTGTCATGGTTTGATGCTGTGTTCACTGTTCATCTACTTCTTACAGACAAAATTAGCATCTACCTACTCAGAATGGAGATACTATCTTGGGACCACTGGAAGAGTGAGCTGAAAGAGTTTGTGGATGGTTTCATCACATCAGAGGGTCTCCAAGCACAGACTGTGGTGGATGTGGCTCAGAAACGGCACCTACCTGGGAAATGGGACCTGAGTCTGATGTTTGTGCCATTTGTTGGGTCTCCACAGATATCTGAAGATGATCTGGACCAGGTAGGATAAGAACTGCTTAAGAGTTGGTGTTCCACTGGGTTGTTTTGGACTTATTTTAACAGATGCAACTTTCAGCTTTTTGATGTATGAATGATGTATGTTGATGTGAAGAATGTTCTTGATGTAGTGGTATGTTCAGTACCATTGATTGTTTTTATAATCTCTTAGTTATCTGTTTATTTGGATATTTTCATGTCAACTAAAACAATGGGCATTCACTTTTTCTCATTATTTATTTCAGCTATGTGAGCTTCTACCCAAGGTATCCAGAGACTGGAGATACCAAATAGAATCGGCTGAGAGGGAGTCCAAAAGGATCATGCTGACCATGGCAAGGCTTGGTGTGTCCATTGGAGCAATTCAGACTGTTGCCATGCTTCCATCAGATAAAAGAAGAAGACAGGTCTGTGCTTACACATTTTCCTTCAATTTTGATGATATCTGTATTCATGAATTTGTTCACCGCTTTCATTCTCCCTCATGTGTATGCTTGTTTCATATTTGTTGTCACTGAGTGTTATGATGGCAGCAGTTTGATAAGTTATCATTTTAAGATATCATGTGTTGCTGGAAAGTGATAAGATCTATTAGTTTTGGTGTTAGATACTTATATGAGACATTCACTACAATATGTCACTCTGCCTTGTCAGAACCTAGATATCACATTCGTCACATTCACTATAACTCTACCCCTTCTCTTTCTCCCTCTCCCCCTCTCCCCACAGCCGGTCACGTTGCATCTGGACCTGAATCTGCCCCCGGGCGGCCCGGACGTCACCCTCACAGCCGAGCGACAGCTGATCGCGCGTGACGTCACCGACCGACTGCTGCGCTGGGCGGGATATGACGTCACCCACTCGGACGGCGACTGTCCGCCGGCCTCCGACGGTGCTCCTCTAGTTTGTGTGACGGCCCACCCGCGGCTGCCGTTGTCCGGAGAGAGGGGTGATGGTGACGGGAGTGGCGTACAGACGGAGAGAGGGGAGGAGAAGAGGAGAGCGGCGCGGCTGGTGGTGGAGCCGGTGGTCAGCGCGGAGACGGGCAGGAAGGAGCTAGAGCTGACTGCCGCCGAGCTGCGCAGGTGAGACGGGGAACAGAGCCGGCGGCGCTCTGCCAGGCAGTGGGGACCCTTGTGGGGACAAATGGTGACCTGACCAATTACGTCCTGGGAGGTTTCCTACCGATATCCAACGTTGGTGTTAGTGTTGATTGTGCTGACTGTATGGATTTTTGGTATCATGAATGACCTCTAAGTTGAAGCCAAAATTACACAAGAGTTGATTTTCTTTATGGAGCAGTGTGGTGTGGCTATTGAAATGTCCGTGTGCGTGGCGCCTCTCCTAACCACTGTTTCTCCCTCACCCGCCAGACGGCGTTGCGCGGCGCTGCTGTCGGCCGGCCGGAGCCGGGAGCGGGGCTGCTCGCCGGAGCGCGCCGCCCGGCTAGCCGCCGCCTCTGTGGCCCACCAGCTGCTCCAGGTGTCCGTGGGCTCTCCGTGCCGGGTGGCCACCGGTCCGGTCTGTGGCGAGCGACCAGCCGACGGAGCCCTGTTCGCGCTCTATAACGGCGCTCGGCTGCGCGCGCTGCTGGCAGGCTTTGAGGAGCGCGTGGCGGCCGGCGAGTACCCGCCGCTGCCCCCGGTGGCGCAGCTCGGACACAAGTTCAGCGCTCTCAGCACGGAGGTGAGGCGCTGGGAGACGGCCCTACTGGTCCTCCTCAGTAGACGGGGTGAGATGGAAGCATTGTCTCTTTACTGTGTGACCGTGAGAGCCCGCTGAGATGCTCGAAACCCGAGACTCAACTCTTGACAGACTTCGCTGCTAGTTTGTACTTACTACTTACCTTGGTCTTTTGCTGTCTTATCTAAAGTTAATGCCTAGCATTTGGTGACTCACTGCACTGCTTGCCTCCTGTTGTTCTCTCCTGAAGCCCCCTTCCCTCTACTAGGATGTATGACAGCGGTGACGCCGTTATCTGCCACCTCCCCCCCCCCCCCACACTAACCTCCCTTCTCCTTCCCCAGGACGAGTGGGAGCTGGTGTGGCGCCACCTACTGCCGTTCCCCGGCCTCGTCCAGGCGTGTGCCGAGGCGTCGCTGGCCGGCCGACCGGCCCTGCATCGCCTCTGCTCTGGTCTGGAGGCTCTCAGTCACACCTTCAGTCGCTACTACAGTCGTACCCACGTTCTTACGGTGAGCGGCGGAGGCAGACGAGAGAGAACTCGGCGCCGTCGGTATGTGATGTCCGAATGTCGTGTTTTAGCGTTGTCATTGAGAATCTTGCTAGAAGCTAACTGATCGTTACACAAATTAGTTGTATTGTGTCAAATTTGTTGGCATAAATATGCTCTAACTCATTTTTGAATTATCAAAACGTTGGCATTCGCACAAATGCCACGAATGTCACTAGTGTCCTATGCTACCTGGGATCCGAGCTTCGTTCACATATCGATTTTCTCTCCCCCAGCCGCCTCTGGAGCACCTGATGGACACGCTGCACGTGCGCATCCACCTGCTGAAGGCGGCGCAGATCGTCTTCGACACCTACTTCGAGCTACTGGGCTACGAGCCCCTGGAGCGGATGTAGATGAGGTCACCTCTCAGAGTCAAGATGCCGTGGTGGCAGGCAGCACCACGCGTTGATGTAGCGGCAGAAGAATCGTTTCACGGGACCAAGCGGCTGTGGTGAGTTGTGATATGATTTGTTATCAGGGATGTGGTTTCTAGAGTTCACGTTTTCTTGTTGGTACGTTTAGTGTTCATAATCAGGATGGTTTTGAATTTGTTACCTTTTTGATCTCCGTACTCGTTCATCGCGGTTCATGCTGCCTTCGAACGAGTTGACGGAAGCCAGGTATGCATTATCAATGCATTTTTGTTGCGTTTGCACCTACATTTCATTCTTAGACTGGATGTGGGCACGTTTGCTCAAACCGTTACGATCATTAATCTAGTCCGGAAGAGGCGTCTCACCGTGGGTTTTGTGTCAGGTTTACTCAGATCTTCACCACGCTCAGCGTTTCGCCAAAGGCGAGGTGGCGCAAGTGCATTATCGGAATGTGCGACTAGAAGTGCGGATATGCGTTGGTACCGCGGGATGGACAAGGATCTGCGTTTCAGTTGTGGGTTTGCGGTGCTGGTGACCGCAGCAAGTCTGGTTTGTTTCAACGTGTTATTATGGCAAGTGCAGCTGATGCTGGCGCCTGTTTCCGTCACTTTTTTACTCGTGTGAACTGAGTGTTACGGAGTACAGAATTTGTGTGATTCTGCAATACAGAGTCGTTATGTATATGCTTCGTGTTCATTAAACGTATCTTTTGAAAATCGGAAAGGATTGGTTACATGCCCGAAGTCGCAGGTCTTGCAAATACCTGAGCGAGTAATTTGCATTACAGACGGATTCGGGATTTCGTATTGAGCGTCGGGCGGAAGTGCGCTTGTAATGGGCAGTCATTTCTCTTGCAGATTAAAGTGGAGTGTTTATCTGAGATAGAGGGTTAATCAGAAGATACGAATGCTCTAGGCAGGAATAAAAGCAACAACAGCTGATTCATAGCTAAGTCATTTAAAACACCCAACACAAACATCGAGTACACAGGACGTGTTCTGCAGTTCAGAGGCACGTTCAATGAATATGTTCTGAGCTCCGCTAGTGGGCACGTATAGAATATTCGTCACTTGCCACACCTTTGGCCCGTGCCCAGACACTGGCGGTATTTCGCCTCGTTGTCGGGCTCGGAGACCGCCAGCAGTGGGGCACAGACGGTGGACGGTCCCAGTCGGTGACCTGACCTCGCCCGAGGCTGTCCCGGGTCAGTCCTCTGGTGGTGGAGGGTCCAGACGAGGCGCAAACGGCCGCGAGTGCTGGTTTGTGCCGGGACGGCCGAACGGGCTGGGCGTGTGTGCAACTCTAACGTGTGGCATCGGGAGGCTGTCAGCTCTGGCTTTGTGAGCCCTTTGCGAGAGCTTCGCCGAGTGGGTGAGATGGAAAAAGAAGACCTTGCAAAGTGAGTCCGCGCCTAGTAGAGCTGTAAGCTTGCGTGCATTGATTATGTATGTAAGTACGTAGATTCTCACACACGGTAGATAAGTGCTAACCGTCTGCGATGTGCCTCCAGATTCGGTGCGGCGCTGTGCATTCCGGCTGTAAATGATAAGTTTTTTTCTTATCGAGTAGCTTTCACAATCCCCTCTTATCGCAACCTATGCCTTACAGACGCCCATCTTCTCCCATCCGCACTGGAGGACCGTGTAACGTAAATGCACTGCACTGCACTGCTTTCAGCATCACGCCTTACAAGCCAGTAGATATGAACGATATCGACTCATGCCTCATGTTCTACGGACTTAACTTCATCCCTCGCCTCTCCCCCCACCGATGGCCGTGCCAGTGTCATAACAGGAGCATGTCACGCGCTGAGGCCCTCTCTTCCATCCAACAGCTGACCACCGCTGAAAGTGTCACGTGCCAAAGGCTCACTGGTTATTTCCAGGTCTGTCTGGCTTATCCGTCTACCGAAGTCCGTGCGACATTTCTTGCATCACCACCGTACTACGAACAAGCTATCCATGAGATGACCCATGTTCGAAGCTTTCCGCGGTCCATAACCGAATCGGTTCAGATGCAACGCGACATGTTTCGTCTCGGCGAGCACAAATATCTCCACACTTGGACAAACTTGGGGTATGCGACTGCCTTCGCCGAATCATTACCACGTGGGGCTCGACCGGGGTAGGCGAAACCATGTGGGTGAACAGCCAGCAGGAACCGCACTAGGGCCCATCGATCCATATCGACTGACCGAGCAGCCCTGTAAACTGCACAGTCGGTGACCGTTCCTATCTCGCCCATCCGTATTACAGTGAGTGCACGCCCTGTACATACTCCGCCTCTGCACAATCACGGACCGGTTCTGCCCCGCCCCTCTCATGGGACGGTGAACTGAACGCCCCTTTCACCCCGCCGCGACGGTGGGACTTCGGCGTTCGATTACGATCCTGCCGTTTCCTGCAACCAACCGTCGTAGCAGCTGCTGTCTCTGCATTTACGTCGTACCGCGGTCTGATGTAAAGATGACGAAAGTCCGAGCAGGAGCTGGCAAGACTCGGCGCCGGCGCAGTCATCACCTGACCCCCCCCCCCCCCCGGGCAGCCGTCATTGGTCGATTCCTGTCGGCGGCAGTGCCGCACGTCCAGGGGAACGTCCAAACACGTGGTCGGGGGCGCGGTCATGATTTGGCTAGGTCAGCATCCTCACGGGGAGGGGAGGGAAGGTCATCTGACACACTGGGTGTGACTGTGAGGGGAAGGTACTGCCATTAGTATTGGCAAGCTACTGAGACTCGAACTGGATTGAACCTGATCTGACACCGTGCTAAACTAGTATTTCAATGTGCCGCCATGGACTTTTTCGTCTACTGCGGAGAGTTCTATTCAAGTAGCCGGCTGCCTTCTCCATTCCATAAAATTCCGGCACGCTGAGCCTGAGAAATGAGAGGACTCGGCACGTACCGTTTTTTACGGCTGGTAGTTGGTCCCATGCTTGTGTGAGCGTATGTTGTCATACACTGCAAACAGCACCGTCCGGAAAGCCCCAGGTGTTCCCGTTGATAACTCCCACCTGCTCATACCCTCCCCTCTCCCACCCTTCATGCCCATCTGTTTGTCGGCTAGGCCGGCGTGGGCCGTCACAGGCGACAACCGACCGCTTGTGTGGCCATCCCCTCCCTCTCCCCCCTCGCGAGTGATTGCTGCGTTGGATGGGATAGGGTCGATATGATAACAAACGCGTACCCATACTCACATTTCGGTTGTAGCTCGATAGGTTATGCTGAAAATTTAATCGATTATTTTCTGTAAAGTTCATGCAAATTCATACGTGCGCGTCACGCAAGCGCAATTCTTCGCATATTGGGCGACAAACCAGACAGTTCCAGTTGTAACCGGTTACGTTCGCTCAAGCGCACTTCACCTGATGGTCGGGTGTGATACATGGACCACATTCCGGCCTTCCCATCACTACTTTACTATGCATCGGTCAATTCGCATATTATGCAGAGCAGCGAGCACATCATCCACGCTCCCAGCTCACGCCTCTCTGCCCCTCTCTCCATATAACTGTCCCTCTCCGACCGGTGACCCAACCAGTTCTCTCTCCACCAATCACCGCCCCCGCCGGCCGACCGATGACGCTCTGCGCGTATGTCGTCATCCGATGACGTCACCACCCCCTATCGATCCAAGCCGACGAGGGGCACGAGCAGCGTCGGTACCGTCCCAGTCCGCGTCGGGAGTCGCCGAGGGTCGAGCGCGGGGCGCGGGTCCGACGTTAGCACAGAGCAGAGGCCGGCTGTCGCCTGCGTCGGTGACCGGGTCAGCTGCACCTGTCTCTCCCCCGAACGGCCGCCAACCATGGCCGAATCCCAGTACGACTCGCTGCCCCTCAGGGAAGGAGGCGGCGCCGCCGACAAGAAGGATGACGACAGCAAGGGCGTCAAGCTGCAGGCCAAGATGAGTCTGCTCAATGGAATCACGGTGAGTTGGATGGGGGCTTATGGGTGGATTGAGCGAGGGAAGATGCTTGGGAAAATGAACGGTAGTTTCGCCATAATTTAGTTTATATTTTGCATAGCAATATATAGGAATTGAACGTATATTTATTGCACATAATTAAGCGCAAAAATATTTGCGATACCGAAAGATATCGGACATCGCCACATTGGTGCTGTTGACGTTCATGATTTACCTCACATCTTCCCCTCATCGGGCGTCAATTGTCAGCCGAATGTACCTAAACCCTGTCATCAGGCCAGGATGAGCTTCATTGTACTCACATAGACATAACTCATTTCTTCTTTACATATATCCGTTTCGTGCTCGGTTGATGAATTATCTTCAATGAAATGTCGTTATTTCGCTAGCTACGAACCACGCAAATATTTTTTTCGATTATATTTAGCTCAAGTATGACCCCGAAAAGGGCAGAATGTGATTATTTTCTCTTCAGTCTTCCCAATCTTCTAAAGAGATATATTCAATCATATGTGAAAAGAAATGAAGCCTGCATGCTTATAAATGCACTATGCTATAAAATTGTACATCGGTACGCATTAGTATATTTGGAGAGGAAGGAAGTATAATTTTGGATAATTCTGATTGCGAGTTATGTATAAATGTTAGGCGCTGATCGGTGTGAAATGGCTGCAATAACGAAAACGACATTGAAGTCACCAAAAGATCTTATATTGAAAACAATGTAATATTTACTCCAAGTAGTTGCTTCAGCAGATCTTTATTCTAAGAAATATACATTTTCGGTTCTACACCTTGCTGCCATTACGAGCCAAAACATTGCATCCAAATCGTTAAAAAATGTTTTATGACCGAAGGTTCTCATAACTTGCCATGAATGTCACGCGCTGCCATCTAGTGTTATATTCTACTGCCGGCGCTGCATTCTCCGTCATGCTCAGTCGGCCAGACCCGACTTATTTAGACAAATGTCCGGAGTTGACCGACTGGTTTCGGTAGGATACTAAATTCTTAACTTACTAGGACACAGTCTCATAAATATGAAAACTGTATTGCATTTTTAGATTATATTTGTATTGTCCCTCAACAGTGGTTGCCGGTTATACCAATCATTCCTTTTCTACAGACACTTTTCTAGAAATAGCAAAGATTTTATCTGAGTGTTAGCATTTTATCTTAAGTATCTTTTTCATATAATCCGTCATTCGTCAATATTCATGCATTTTATACAGTAGAATCCGCTTAATAAATCCTCAGATAATAAATCCAGCCGCTTATTGTGGCCACTTCAGCTGTTCTCGGATTTTTCTATAGAGGCATAACCAACTCCGGTTGATAAAGTCACCGCTTAATAAATCCAAAACGCCGTGTCACCTACGTGGATTTATTTAGTGGATTCTACTGTAACCACCTTAAACGGTTACCAGGGAAAACTACACACGGAAAATATCTTACTATTTTTTTTATTATTATTCAGGTGTACTATGTGCATACCTAATGTTTGCCACATTGCACGTACAGCATCACGGTCATGCAGCGCCAACTTCTCTATGCCAAAACATCGTCAACCATCGTTTTTCACGCCTCCTGTTATAACTCTCCTTCTCTCCTCCCTTCCTCTCTCCTCACAGGTCATCGTGGGCTCCATCATCGGCTCCGGCATCTTCATCTCGCCGACTGGCGTGCTGGAGAACACGGGCAGCATCAATCTCTCGCTGGTTGTCTGGGTAGCCTCGGGCGTTTTCTCCATGGTGGGCGCCTACTGCTATGCCGAGCTCGGCTGCATGATCAACAAGTCTGGCGCCGACTACGCCTACATTATGGACACCTTCGGCCCCTTCCTGGCGTTCATGCGACTCTGGGTGGAGTGCATGATCGTCCGACCGTGCTCGCAGACGGTCGTGGCTCTGACGTTCTCCGTCTACGCCCTGAAGCCGTTCTACCCGACCTGCGAGCCGCCGTACACCAGCGCTGCGCTCCTGGCTGCCGTCAGCATCTGTGAGTATCGCCAGCGGGAGGGAATAGGGGTAATGGTAGTGGTATTGGTGTGTGGAGTTGGGAGGGAAAAGACCGCAGAATAAGTGGTTTTCAGCGATGGCACAGTAAATGCTCAGGGGTAGTCAAAGCTGCTCTTCACAGATCACATTTATCGAGAAAAAGCGATACGATCTACCGAGGATAAAAACTGTGTAGGAATCCGAATGAAATATAATTTGAAGTACTTAAACAATTCTAAACCATAGGTGAAATGCCCCTTCTTCTTCAACTTCAAAGCAGCTGTCAGAATGTTTCTCCTGCGCGTTTATTTAGTGTTTTACCGCCAGCATTTCGTGATGATCGCGTGAGGATATGCTGGTGACCCGGGGCACATACATTCCATCATACCTCTGGCCTTGAGTGTGCCAGTGCCACCGGCCAATGGGTTCGACACCCTTCAGAATTTGGAGACGATTTCTCGATATGGTCGTCCGATCCACACGATCCAGACAGCAGACTCTGCTGTGCACCATGCAAGAACAGCATGGCCAATGGTCACAGACACGAGTTTGTAACTTATCGGGAAGGAATGGTTCTGAATAAATGCGGACGTTCAGATTGATGGGCTGCTGACGTAGCGTGGCATAAAAGGCTCGTTGAAAGGCAGCCACATGTCCCTTGCAGCGTGCAAAATTGGAAGCATGCCTGCTTAGATTCAGTGGCGTTGCTGACGGTGATATTTGGGGAATGGTTACGCTGGTGACTGCACGAGTGCCAAAAGAAGATTATCGTCAGCCTTGCATGTCGATGAATTAACCCTCAAATAATGAAAGAAAACGAAATTAAAATAGTACAACATTGATAATTTGGTATTTGTTTCAAGGCTGCCTTGTTCAGAAAGTAAAAATTCCACATTTCTGGCTATACGTTTCTGTATTCAACATCAGACCGATGATAAACATTTATGTAAAGCAATCAACAAGTAACAACTAGCAACGGGTAAATATCAGTCTGTATTCCCTATCTTCTCCTATACTTTTGTTTCTCATGACATTTTTTCCGATGACAAAATCTGTGTGCACCACGCGGCATCGAAACATTCATAAATAATAACTTGTTTACGATGCTAAACGTGAAGTTGTTTCATTGTTGTTGAGAACGTTTGTTCCTAATTCCTAAGCAGCATGCATCAGCACTCAGCAGTGTACACATATGTTTTATCATAAGGCAGCCTAACTATTTAGAATCACCAGCGAGATTTTGCGGGCAGTGCACTGGGTAATTTAGAGAACATACACCAATTACACTAATGGCTAACATTTTTACATCACAGCTAATTTACAAGCAAGGAAGACTGATATACACATTCCTGATGCATTTATCTCCCGCCACAAACTTATTGCTCCCCAAGCGCAAACAATTTACACTCTATGACGGTTTTTATCGTAACGAACCCGTCGGTTATACACTTGTGCAATAATGTCTGACGCCTTGCTTACTGCCAGAATAAACTACATCACGGCTTACGGAAAATTCGTCATTAGAACTCCGCAGTGAGTATTTCGACATTTCAACCGTTCTAAAGGATTCCTCGGCCTCGGCATACTTACATTTACTCGCTTACACACACTGAGCCTTCGTGGATAAAATGCTGCCTCAGAAGCTTCCGCGTGGTTGTAGTGAAATAGCACTAGAAATTTTATGTGTCGTGCCGGCCGGCTAAAGTTAAGATCGCCCTCCCAGCACCGACTACCGGACTGGGTTTGCCGAGTCATGCAGGGGTAAAAATAGCCTGGCCGATGCACTGTTGGAGCAGCCAATCCTGTTCAGTGAAGGAATCAACATCCATGGCTGGCTGGCAACGGGAGACCATGGTGTAGGGTTGATAGTTTGCGAATGGAGTGCAGAACGAAAGGAAATACCACTAGATAAAGATAATTTATAGCCTATGAAGACTAGCTTGATGAGAAAAGACCGATGAATGAAATTTGAGAGACTGATATTGAAGTGGGATAGATATGAGTCGGTGATGTGACCTGGCCAGACTTCTTACCTATCGTCTTCTTTTAAATACCGCCTGACGCATTCGAAATAGACAGTTCCAAATTCAGACATGAGGTGCTCCGAGACGAAGGTCGGGGAGGCCGTCTCATGAGACCCGAGACGTTGCCGGGTCTCGTCGAGACGAGCTGAAGATGATACCCGGAACGGGCGCTGCCGCGTCACCTCCGGTATCATATGCCAAGACGGCCGCTGGGGGCCTCGCGCGGTTGGCCGAACTGTCACAGTGGCTCGTGCCGTTGTGTGACCTCTCCAGCCGGGGGCGGCACAGACGAATGACCTCGGGTCGACGCTTCACAGCCCTCCGTAGCTGTCCGGAATGCGAGCGTCGTGTACCGCGGAGGAGGCTGGGAACAAACACTCTCTCGAGCTGATCGCTTCCCGGCTGCCAGAGATAAATTTACATGACACATGAGGCCGGCGGCCGGTCCGATAAATTTACACGGCACGTGACGCCCTCGCGCCCGAGGGACCGGTCCCGTGCTTCCCACTAAGACGGCTGAAGACCGAGAGGGCTGGTCTCGTGCTTCTGCATCGGAGCGGGCAGCGCTGAAGAAGCTTTACTGCCCGCAGCAAGACTGCTGGACACTGTCCATCGTTAATCGATTTGAGGATCTGACAGCTGATTTCCGCCATATCCCCGGCGCCACCTTATTGAGACAGTTGCTCCGACACGCCTATCTTCACCTCGGTATACTGACTGGTCGACAACTGGCGGCTATATCTGCCCCATCGGTTTCTCCGGCTATCTGGGACAACGGGCGAGGGCGTATCCACCCACAGCCTTCCCATTACGCGGGTGTCTGTCTGTCTACTGCAGAGCTGCCGACGCGGCCGGCCGGCCCGCCCCGACATCCGGCTGACTTACATCTCGTCGGATAAAAATACACCCCTGTGACTCGGCCGTTTTTGTGGGTGGAGGCGGCTGTCACGGTTTTTAGCAGTGGGCAGAGGAGTCGGAGCGTCGGTTGTTGCCCGGTCGGCGATCTGGCTCGCCACGGGGTGCAAATAGCTCTCTCAGATGAAATCGATCCGACTTTCTGGGCACAGCGAGAGAGCTGTCACTGCCGTCGGCCAATATTGCCCTTACTCAGCCGCCCATGACCCGGAAATATCGAATTACAATTCCAGCACTGATTGATCAGTGACATTGGTGATGCCGATATCGCTATTGGATGAACACTGAGCAGAACACAAACAAATCGTTCAAAATTAGTTTGCTGCTCTTTGCATGCTGTTTATATTTTATACGCACAAAAATGAGTCAAGACAGTTGTTTTCAATCCTCATGTTCCCCGTTTTCTTTCCTCGCACCTCTTCAGTAGGAAGCTATGACAGCATTGTCCAGGATGATCAATGACATGTGGACTGGCTGGGGAGCTTCTTCATCTGAAACTGGCCGGGACCAGGGCAGCCAGCGGGGGCGGGGGCGGGTGGGGGTCAGTTGGCCCCTTGCCGCCGAAGCCCGTGACGCCGGAGGCACCGCCCGCTCGGCGACCAATCCGGCGCAGTTGGGACCACGTGGTCTGCGCCAGAAATAGAGCGCTCGCGCTGCCGCCGTCGCCGCCGTCGCCGCCGACGGCCATCGACCGACGCGCCGCCGCCGCCCCCACCCTCGTCGCCGCCTCCGCGCGCACTCGTAGCCCTGTGACGTCATCACAACTGCGTCTCTGCGACGATCGCGACGCAGCAGGAACTGCGCCGAAGTGGAGTTGGAAAAATGTGGAAATGATTCTGAATATGATGCAACAAGAAGGATAAAGCCCATATTTGTTGAAACTTGAATTTGTTCACCTTTCGGCTGAAATCACTTCGGTATTGTCATAAAGAAGAAGACTATAGAAATAATGCTTTCGCACAAGCCTGAATAGCTAACCCGGTACTTCTGCGGAATAATTCGAGTGATATTCGCTACCCATAAGATTTTGTTCTGATAGCAATAGATGTTATTATTATTTTTTAATGAGGTTACCAAGAAGTATTCAGCATCCTCGTCGTGGCTTGCTACCCTGCCGTACAAATCTATGAAGGTTCAGGCACGCATCGGAATGTGCTCATCAGAGCTTCCCCAGCCATTACTTCCCGAGGGTCTGTGTTGTCCTGCTCATTGTTATTCAGCCAGCAACACTGACGCCCGGTGTAAAACTGAGGCGTACAACGCGGAGCCGACACGCAGGTTCCGTTCCTTCGTTCAGGCACGAGACCTACACGTCACTCCTTTACATCACACTCTGAAGGTTTATGGCGGCGTCAACTTTTGCACCCTGCTTCAAAGCACGATTCTCCCTGATATGCATGACAATCTGGATGCCGAGCTTTTTGATTATATATTTTGTAATATCACAGGCCCCAATGCAACAACTACCTTTCAATACAACTCGTCGCCATAGACTGCACGCCGAAGGACCGTTCGATCGATGAGCTGTTTTTTTTTTCAGCCGGCGACCTGGCGACCACGGAAATGAGTGCGGTCAGACGTATTCGGGCATTGTTAGGGCAAAATGGGTTTTGTGTGTGTTCGCTTGGCGTATACGAGTGAATCGATCTTCAATCGGAGACAACCGACTCGTATTCGTTGAGGAAAGGTTGTTCGTTCATAATTCACAATTCATATTACTTCATTTTTACTTGTCTATGTACACATGCCAGTCACCCGGCCATGACACTCGTCAAATAAAACGAAGTCAAATCACAGCACACTTTTTGTTTTAGGAAAGTAATTAGCCATGTAGCGTTTCTATAGGTAATCCAGATTTACTTTGCGATTTGTCTCATAATTCGTTAGAGCCCCAATTAATTAAAATGTCACACACAAAAAGGATGTCACTTGGATACTATTAGTGAAGTTTGTTGTTTTGAGAATCACTTATGGCCTGCCTGGCAAGGAATCCATCATAGTAGATGTCCTATGTGATGGTAGATGTCATCCTCTGAAATCTCTGTTCGTGGTGAGCCCACCGGTATTATGTGAGATCGGGAAACGATGGATCGTGTGTCCTGGGATGATGGTAGACGATTTGTCCGTGGAAATAAATATTGGTAGTCGAGGTTCTCATGAAGAGGCGTTGTTAAATGAACTTTGAATTAAAATAAAGTGATACTTGCAGTTGAGCATAGCTTTGAATGCTGGCTTATGTTTATGCATGGATTCAGCCTGGAATAACAAGTTTTGTTCCAAGTGACTTATTGATTTATTGTCTATTGATAACTTAAATTCAGGTAGTTATTTCACGATTAGAATGCGACAACCGCTATTTATATGCAGCATGATTTATTTGGCAGTATTTAATCAATTTCGGGTTCAGAAGTCACGTACGGCTGTAAATGGCAGCCGTAATTGAAGCTGCTGACGTAAATACGACCCTCGATGACCTTTAATTTCAGGACGTGGATTTTCTCTCCGGCACAAACTGAACGTGACTCGATTTCCGAAGAACGTTGAGCGAGACCGTTTATCATGCTTTCGCGCAATACACGTCCCTCCAAGAGGTCTGATCCTAGCTGCTGTATAATTATGTTCTTATCTGCAATGTTATTCCACCCTGGAATATTTCACACTTCTCGTTTGATTGCTAGCAAGGCTGAATAAGTAAACACCAAACATAACGTCAAGCGATTCTTTCAAATATCGTCGAACAAATTCACCCCGCCGGGATCGTATCACACACGAAATACTCTGTCATGAGGTCAGTTAGGATGGCGGCCGTCCCACGGCAGTCAGATGGAATGGTCTGCTCCGTCAGCTGGTGACCAATCGCCATAGCTTATCGCGGCCTGTGCTGACGTCATCGGCCCACTATTCCGCGCACGACGTTCATTACTCGCTAGTATACGAGCTCGGAGCACACAGTGACACCCCCGCCGGTCGGCAGACGGCCCGACAGAGGAGACCCGTGGGAAATAGTCTCTGTTGACTCTGTGCCGCCTTCCGACCGCTGCAGTCCCGCGGGCTGTGTTTAGGGGGACTGTGGGTCGGTGTCGGTCATCTGTCACACCGTAAAGCATCGCTAAGCCGCGCTGATGTCAACAGGGCGCGGAGCCGAGATCCGTTAGCCGGGTAGCGATGAACGCAGCTGCTCCCCGCGCCCGAAAACAAGCAGTTAGCAGCGGCGACTGACGCCGAACACAGCTGGTCTCGAGCGAGTAAATATGTCAGTTGATGAAGCCTGCTGCTCCACGTACTTTTTGTCGGCGACTCAGAGGGGACAAATGAGCTTGCTAGAGGAATTTGCGAATAGTGAGCTTCTTCTATCACACAATGTTACGGAGAAACATCAGCTCGAAATTCGAATGAAACATGTCGCTTAATCCCATTAACAACGGATATTTTGCATTTGAGATGTTACGTCGCGCTGTTTTCGGTGCATATGTGACCTTGTTCACAAGTATACCTAAGTTATGAGTATGCGTCCATTTTGCCAATGAGTAACTGTGTAACAATGCAACGCATTCTTATGAAATAAAAGAAACGGCACTAAACGGCCAGTGTCTTAGCGTCTGAGACGACACAACAAAGAACTACTATGCAAACGGTTCAGTTCCGACTACAAACCCAAATAAGAGCAAAGCACCTTATACCATTAGTCATGTGCTCAATTGGGTTGTAAATCCCTGCACTTTCTGACCATATGTTTTGTTCTTTTCGCAGGCGTGCTGACGTTCGTCAACTGCTACAGCGTGACGTGGGCTACGCGCGTGCAGGACATCTTCACCTTCGCCAAGCTGCTGGCCCTGGTCATTATCATCATCACCGGCATCTACATGCTGGCTCTGGGTCAGTGGCGGTCACTGGGGTCACGGGATCACGGAGTCACGGGTCATTGGGATGGAGGGGTCAAAGGTGAAAGGACATGATCACGGAGTAGGGTCAGGGGACACAGTCGGCGGTTTAATGTGGAACGATTTGTCACTGGAGAGTTATGAATGTCGCAAGTCTTGGCATACCGATCAAGCAGTCGATGCTACCGACTGTTATTCGGGTACGCCTCGGGAGTTTCTAGTTGGCAAACGGGCTAAAAAAGGAACGGAGATCCATCATTCTCCAATGGGCAACGTTTTACGATGTACCTGGAAATTTTGATACACTAGTTAGCATTGGTTAAACTGCGAGTTTGTAATTTGTACGGGACCTCGCCACCTACCCATTTTCAAGAGATAGTCGTGCTTCAACGCAAAAAAGTAGTCGCCAATCTATTCAGTAGCAGTTTCAGGCTTACCAACAAGCTCTACCTCGCAATTATGTTATTGACATATTAACCCTGTTAGTGGCAGGCTCCTGGCTACCCCATATTAGTGGCAGGGGGGGGGGGCTGTTTACGACCCCCCCTTGATATCTCGAGATCTAACCGGCCGATTTTCAAAATTCAAACGGCATTCGATTTGGCTCAACGAGATCTACATTTCTAAAAAAAATTAAAAAGTGTCAATAGGGGGTAGAGGGGGTTAAAACGGGCAAATTTCAGATACATTTTAGACTGTTTATCACGGCCAGGTTACTGAACCAATCTTAACGCAACTTTTGCTGATCGATAGAGAATGAACCAGGAATTCACATGGATCCTAAAAATATGCATTTTCAAAAATCATAGGCGGATACAGATCATTGAGATTGGGGGTACACAAAAAGTATAGTAAATAAGGTTTTTGTTGGTACTGTTTCTAAAAAGGGTGGCAATGGTCTTGTTATGTTACAATTTTCTTATGAGAGAACGACTAAAATTGTATTGGTCATGCATAGGCGGTGTCAGGGCACCTATGTTGGGAGGTAAAAAATAACCCCCCTTTTTGGACGCCTGGATCCGCCTATTATAGCAAAAACGTGTCAAAAGAGGATGCACAATAACTTTGTATATGTTATCACATGATACCTTTCATTCACTGTTCGTAAAACTGGTGCAGCATCGTGATCTTCGCCCAAATGACTCGCTTCACGAATAGGACCCCCCAATTCCCAGTGCTCTGGAGCCGCCCCTGGTAAAGGTATGAACTTGAAATTTTCAGGGAATGTGCCCAAATTAGTTTTAGGAAAAGTCAGAAAATTTCAGCATCGTAGCTTCAGAGGTTTCGGAGATATTGCCGAAAAACCTGAGGGGTGGATAAAAACAACCCCCCCCCCCCTGCCACTAATAGGGTTAATGATGTGAAGTGATCTATCTCGTCTTGAAACACACTGCGCTAGCAATGCATGATGACCTTTCCATTTTCGTAGTGCAAGTCATTCATGTCATCTTTATTTATGCAGTCGTATCACACTCCAGCCAAAATCACATTTCAATTTGTCACACCTCACGGCTCAGTGAATGTCACCAGCACATCCTGTCAGCACTCTCCATTGTCCAGCTCCACATGAGCCAGTGCCGCATCGGCCGGCGACGGCCCTCTGGTAAACACTGCACTAACGCCTGCCAATCTTCACAACCGTCCATCACTGCCACTGAGCGTCTAGTCCAGCAGTGGCGACCTGACGCCGAGCTGACTCACTCGGGAACGTCCAGCGCGGTGCGTCCACGGCGGCCGGTCACGGCGCGGTCGTACCTAACGGACCGTGCACGCCCAGGGGCCGTGCAGCGGGCGTGCCGGGGCGGGTCGCGCCGGGGGCGGGGCGGGGCGGGGGTGGAGTCAGGGCGGAGGACAGCAGAGGAGACGGGTGCCCCCCGACAGTCCAGAGTCTAACTGAAGTCACGGCGACAGGGGATGATTTCGAGCAGCTCGGCGTCAGCAAGGTCACTGAGGTCATTTGGAGTATCGTGGAGACCCTTGGTGAGGTCATTAGGATGAATGCTCCCTGAGTCTTGTAATTTTTATCTTTTCTAACATGTCCTTGAGAGAGGGTGAATCAGCGCATCAGCCTAGCAAAATATTACGGCCGTGTGCTGATGCACGATCAATAGACTGGTAGGCACCATTTGAAAGGTAAATATTAAAAGTAAAGTGCATTGAAGAGCGGCTTTTAAAAGTTCAAAGACTGGCATTGTGTTCTTGTTTACAGTCTTTTACTGCGAAACTTTTCAGCCGAATAATTCGGGCATGGAGGGCTGCCGTCTCGCTTCGTCTGTGTTGATACCAGGAAAGGCATGCTTGAGCAAAACGGTGGAGACTCTTACTTTAGGAACGTTTCGAAATACTGAACTGAAATACTGAAGGCATTGGGTCCTGGAAACTGGCCAATAAATGGGGCTCTAGACCACCAAATATTCATTTACCGCAGATTCATTACATTATTCATTACATAACACATATGGCGCACAAACATTTTTTTCCATATTACTGCTCAAAAATGGTTCACTGTTTCACGCTAAGCTGCTCCGAAGCGGACATGCTGGATACACCTGTGGCGCGCGCCGGTGGCGCTGATGCGCCATTATTGTCACTGAGGCTCGGTGGCCAACACCTGAACCGAACAGACTGCTCGTCGGTATTGATCCATTCAGTGTCCACTATGACATTCAGTCGGAACAACAAGCGGCGAGCAAGGGCGGCACAGTGGGTTTAACTCGATCCGCTGCATCTCAGCTGCGGAAAGTTGGAAATTTATTAACCGTAGTCCGTAGGTTAAGTAAAAAAGTGTCTTGCTCTTTTTTACAGTTAGGTATAGTGTGTTCTCAAGCTAATCATATTTCCTGTTGCAGATCTCAGATGTTTGATCGCCTCGAGATGAGAATGCACTTTTGTGCACTACTTTATTTGTATCGAGCAGCTTGACTTCGGCTGAAATTTACGTATTTTTCGCTTTCACAGGAGAGACTGCTAACTTCACCTGGGACAATACTCAGACGGATGTCACCAAGATCGCTTTATCATTCTACTCGGGCTTATTTGCATATAATGGCTGGTGAGTGTTCCTCTTCTCTAACTATAGCTTCTCTCTTGCTGACGGGACAGGGGTACGTCCTACCGATGACGCTGCTGGGCTCGGGTCGGTCACGAGTGGTCAGTCGGCGGATCTGTCGTCCTGGCGACCGGCGGGGAGGGGGGGGGGGCACGGGGTGACATACAGCTGGCATATCGCCCACCGCCAAGTGTCAGACCGGATCCGCTGCTGACATCGCTCTCCCTACCCCTCCCCGCTCTGCCCTCCCCTTCCCCTCCCTCTGCCCTCGAGCTTGAGGCTGATACGACATATTATTTTGAAACTGTAGCAATTGATTCACTCTCTAATTTTGACGTCTTCTAAACAAAACAGACGCAACATTAGTGTCGCCGAAGTTTTCACTTCGTTATTCGTTAAATCTCCCAAGTTCGGCGACGTTTGCCAGTGCGGTAGCTTGGCCAATTCCTTAGGGTCATTTCGAGCTTCCCTTGGACTGGCGTTTGCCTAGAGATAGTATGCGACACTCCATTTCATTTGTGGGGTGGGGGGGGGGGGGCTTAGATGGCCAATGGCCATCGCTGTCAGACGGGATGGAATCAGGCGACCTCTGAGCTTCATATCATCGTAATAGTTTCCGCATTTGGGACAAATGGGTTAGTTGATATGAGAGATGCACATTGCACACAATTTGCCCAGACACATTAGCCAGTTAATGTGCTTTTACGCGCAGTAAGTGCGCATTACGTGCGGAGTCTGTATTAATCATCGACCAGAACTCCGTTTGCAACGAACATTTGCATTGCTCAAGAAGCTAGAGTAAAACCACGCGAGAAGATTCAGATCAGTATATCCATATATCCAGTATTTTCGGTATTTTCAATGTTTTAAATGATATTCATTTATTCATTTATTCATTTCATTTATTCATATTCATTTTGAGGTCAACACACTGAAAACTTTTTTACCATTTCCTGAAGGGTAAACCCGCCATAGCATGGTAGCTTGACACACAGACGTTTTTTACCACCTTCCAGATGGTAAATTTTACTCTTTCATGAAGAGTAAACTCGCCAGGGAGGGGTAACATGACACACAGACGTTTTTTACCATCTTCTGAATGGTTACCTCTTTTGATTTACTCTTGTCTAGAGTGTAACATTTTTTGGGTTACACTCTTTGAAAGGGTAAATCTTAAACGGAGCCCTTTTCTAGGGAGTAACGCATCATCTAATCTGTGCTTTACCCTCCTACAGAGAGTATATTCTTCTGGCCTACCCTTTGTCACATGGTAATGTTTACTCTTTCCTTTAGTGTAAACCCCCCAAGAGGATGGTAACAGACTCACAGACGCTTGCTTCAGAAGCTTCACGAAGCTTCTGAACGTCCGGATTTGCTCACCAACTAAAAAAAACATGCTTCAAGAGCAACAATGTATATTTGGCTTCCGTACAAACAATACGAGGGGCACACCAGCAATGAACATTGTGAGACTCTCCACTTATGCATACGAATCTATACGAAGCCTTCAGCAATGCACAAGCGGTAAATAAACACCACGATACAACTTGAATGCACTTTGAATGTGAATACAAGACATTCAGCGCCCTCATATTGGATAAGGCACAGCGCACAATATTTGAAGAGAGCGACGGCGTTCCTGGGTGGTCGCCCGTCTGCGTGAGATAATGAGACTGGATCACTACAGTGCAAGGCTTTTTCAAAGTCACCAACAAAATGCATAAACTTGTAGCATCACAACAAAATTAATGTACGTACTCACAACCTAGGCCACGTGGCCGTGCACGGGGTCCTGTTAACCAGGTCAAATTAACACCACTCAACGGCATGCAATGCTCTAGCACATCGGTACTTACAATAAAATGTCCACAGAGGCTCTATAGGCGATGAACAACACGCAAGCACAATCACCAACGGCCACGCCGCGCGGCACCGACACTGCTCACATCCGCTCTCGGAGACCAACGGCCGAAAACTGACAGATGCGCGCGGCCTTCAAACCGCAAACGGCCGATCTCGTTTCTGATTGGCTGAGTGATTCCATTTCAAATATCATCTTCACGAGAGTAAACAAGATCCACGCATGAAACGACTATCTGTACACGAGTCACGATACCCAGAAGGAAAGAGTTTTCGTGATGTTCTGGATCGCGAGAGTAATATTGATATTTACATGGTAATAATACTCTTCGCTGGCGAATAAGTTCATATTAACTACGTACCGTTACTATGCACATAATGGTAGCAAAGAGTTACCCTTTCAAGATACTCTTATCTTGCTGGTTTGATGAAAATGAATCCTCCAGGAGGTAGTAAAAAAGTTTTGAGTGCAGGTAGGTAGGGGATGGAGCCGAATTCCATGGTCTCACGGGGTTTTACGGGGATTTACAACCTTTTGTAAATTATTGCCGATAAACAAATTAAAAAGCATTTCATCGTAAGATTACACAGCATAAAACTGGATCCCATGAATCCTGCAGTGATGCACTTATTTCTCGCAGCTGGCAAAGCGCGGCATTACAACAATGCTAACCCTTTCTTTGACTGCGACATCTGGTTCTTTGTAGCGCGACGGCCACCGCGTAGGTCCTTCACGATATCTGACAGCTGCCTCATGACCTCTGGGTCACATGACCTGGCCCACGGCCAACTGCCATCCTGGGGCAGCCCACACTGCGCCTTTTTATGTCGTCGGTGACCCCTGTGTCACGGTGGTCGCAGCTCAGTCAACTCATCGTCCGGAACGCCGCCAGTCTCATGACACACCACGGACGAATTGAAACGCAATGGAGCCCGCCGTGGTGCTTCCCTCGTGTTGTACCGTGATACGAGTCGCGCCTCGCGCCGTGACTAGAGTAGCGCGTCCATCCTTCAGTCGCGTTAGTAGGTCCCATTTCAGCCAACCTGACCCTTATGCTCGGTAGTCGTGAGTGAGTCGTGAATTGGCTAATGGATTGTAACGCGTGAGGTTGTTCCAGAACACGTTGCGATGCGTAGTAACTCTGGAAACTGTGGCGTTGTTTTTGTTTTTGTGTCTGCAAATGCGAAGCTCTTGGCAAGCGTTGTACGCGTCAGCGTCTGAAAGTCAACGTCATTCAAAGTTAATTGCAGCGTTACCCACCGGAGCGTGCACATGACAAACACGGTAATCAAACATGACTTGACATTGCGCCGGCGATTACCCTCGGGCTGTTGCGTCACCGTGGGTGCGTTCCGTGCTTTCTGCGGTGTGGCATCTTCCATCAGTTCCGCTCAGTTCCCACTAATAGAAACAATGCCCAATGGCTCGGCGGTCGGCGCTGATTCTGATCGACTTCCTCGACGCGCCTCCCTTTTCCCTACTGTCCCGTCGGTCTGTCGGTGCGACCGTCCCGGAAATAGTGCCTCCGCTCCGTCCCAGCTCCCAGCCGATGTAGTTTGGATTGTTCATGGTCTCGTGTCCATCAGTGAGGTGTCATTGTCGCCGCCTCCGATGGCCCAATTAGCGCCTGTCTGTGCGTTTGGGGGACACATTTGACAGCTGCTGACGAAGGAGGGCGCCCGACGAGCGTCTGGCTCCCGTCGCGCGTCGTTTCACTGGCCGGTGCTGTTCTGTGTTGACATGGTTTATCTGGGTGCGGGAAACAGATACGGCCATAATTCGCCCTTGGGTGCGAATTGACGTATACACAACGGCCTTTGATGGTATTTAATGTGTTTTTAATGACGATGGGAGAGATACTGACTCTATAGCAGTGATTAATGTCATGGTAGTTTAATTTTTATCGTGGTGCGCTTTATTCAGCCTGATCGTGTGATCACTGACCAACCAATATTTGTCTTATGATCGTTTTCAATATAAGATTTTGGTTGTAAATATGAACTTTTTAAGTCAACAGTAACAACAAATTCCTAAGATTATATTGGTTCAATGGTATTTCGGATACGCTCCATTCGCATCGCGACAAATTTATGTTTAACCCGCGCCCCACTGGGGTCTGCGTATAACACACCCTACTGGGGGGGGGGGGGGGGGGGGGGCTCTCCATAGCCCCCCTTCCTAACTCCGAAACTACTGGGCCGATCGTCAAAATTCAAACGGCGTCTGATAGCCCTGGAAAAACTGTCGAGCGAAACCTAATTTTATTGACCTCGAGGTCACAGATGACGTCACAGGTCAGGTCAAAGTAAAAATTATTAGCATTTCGGCTTGTTCACATTTTGGGCTCTGGCCGCCGTTTTACAAGTCAGATCAGGCTCATTTTTGGTTTACACATTCTTGAACAGATGCTCTAGATACCTTGAGGGTACCAAACTTGTACTTTGATTTTCAGGTCAGGGTCAGGTCATCACAGGTCACGGAAATATTATATCATGCGTCGGTCACGTGACACATGTTTTATGGTCCATTTAGGCCATATATTGCGAATTTGATGTCGTCTGTGTCATTCGAGGTCATTTTGAATCGAATTTAGCTTAGGTCAGGTCACTTTCAGATCAAAAAAGGTCAAATTTTAAAGTTAAAATTTTTCAACAAAAAAAGTGTCCATTGGATGCAGTTTGAGCTCAGGAACACGATGGTGCTATTTATATTGGTGTACGATGTCAAAAACGTACTGAAAAATTGATTTAAAAAATTAATAATTGTGAATTTTTTGCAATAATGCGTATAACTTGGCCATTTTTGAAGATATTTCGCTAAAACTTGCTAGAGTTGGTCATAAGCATGCGTTCTGTCACATATATTTCGTTTTTTTTTCGAAAAGTCAAAAACTTTTTGCAAAAAATATAAAATATAAATTTTGAATGTTACTTAATAAAATCTTCGAAATTTTCAAAATTTTCAAAATCTGAGATAGCAGTTTGATAGCACAGTCAATTTTGAGTCCCTTCATGCAAAGAAACTTTATCTAGCTTAAAAACTGAGCTTTTGGGAGCGATTGCCGTGGTTCAATGTTTTGCGTCGAAATCGGCCGAACATGACGTCACTCTGACGTCATTTCAGGCCGACCTATGGTAGCTAC